GTTCTCGCGCAGGCACCTGTAGCTGCGCTGGCAGATGCGAACCTTGTCCTCGAAGGTGGCCGCCTGACCCTGCTCATCGAAGGCCATGATAACCACCGCTGCACCATAGCGCATGCAAAGCTTCGCCTGACGAAGAAACTCTTCCTCGCCGACCTTCAGTGAAATCGAATTCACGATGCACTTGCCCTGCACGCATTTGAGGCCCTCTTCGACCACGGGCCACTTGGAGGAGTCGATCATGAAGGGCAGCTTGGCAACGGCTGGCTCTGTGACGCAGAGCCTCATGAACTTGCTCATGGCCGATTGCCCATCGATAAGGTCCGAGTCGAAGTTGAAATCGAGAATGTCCGCCTTCTTCTCACACTGGGCAATGCAAACCTCCATAGCCTCATCCCACTTGTAGGCATCCACCAGCTTCTTGAATTTGGCTGAGCCCATCAAGTTGCATCGCTCGCCGACCCACTGGAAGCCTGCCTCAGCCGTCACGTGGCAAGGCTCCAGGCCAGACAACATCATGCTGGGGTACTTGGGAAGCCCTGGCAGCTTGCGCACTGGGCAATCCTGCACCTTCTTGCACACAGCCGCAATGTGGGAAGGGAAGGTGCCGCAGCAACCGCCGACGAAGTTCAGGATGCCATCCTTGGCGTAGTCCAGGATGTTGCTGGAGAAGATCTCTGGATCCTCGTCATAGCCGCCCATGGCATTGGGCAGGCCAGCATTGGGGTAGACATGGCACCAGGCTGAGTTCATGTCGCACAGCTTCTTGTAGAAGCCCTTCATCTGAGCCGCACCCAGGGCACAGTTAATTCCAACCGTGAAGGGCTGCGCATGCTTCACACTGACGTAGAAGGCCTCGATGGTCTGACCAGACAGCGTGCGGCCACTGTTGTCCACGATCGTGGCGCTAAGCATCACCGGCAGCCGCTCCTTCTTCGACTCGATGAAGTACTGGTCCACTGCAAAGATGGCAGCCTTGCAGTTCTGTGTGTCGAAAACAGTCTCAATCATCAGCAGGTCGACGCCGCCGTCCACGAGACCGCTCACCTGCTGCTTGTAGGACTCCACAAGCTCGTCCCAGGTCACGTTGCGGAAGGATGGATCCTCCACACTTGGCGACACGCTCAGGGTGCGGCTGGTGGGCCCAACTGCGCCTGCCACGAATCGGGGCTTGTGCGGCTCCTCCTTCGTCACCTCGGCTGCTGCCTTCTTCGCCAGCTGTGCTCCCACCTTGTTCATCTCATGCACAACGGCCTGCATCTTGTACTCGCCCTGCGAGATGGCCGTGCCGTTGAAGGTGTTGGTCTCGCAGATGTCTGAGCCAGCCGCAAAGTACTCCTTGTGGATGTCCTTGATCATGTCTGGCTTGCTGAAGATGAGCAGGTCGTTGTTGCCCTTCAGGGAGACCGGGATGCCGTTGGCATCCTTCTCGCTGAAGTCCTTGAACCGATCCCCACGGTAGTCTGCCTCCTCCAAGTTCTCTGCCTGAATGCGGGTTCCCATGCCACCATCCAGGAAGCAAATGCGCTTCTTCAACTCACCATTGAAGTAGTTGATCACCTCCGTAGGTGTTGGGGTCTTGCACTCAATAATCTTCTGGGCCACCTTCTGCGTCTCTTGCGGGCCCTCCACGCGGCAGGGGTCCACGAGTTTGCAGCC